GCGGGGGGGGGGGGGGGGGGAGTTAAAGATTTTTTGTAATACACTAGGCCTAGCCAATGACATCTGAAATTCAATCCGCAGGATAATGAAACAGTGACCACAGTTTTCTGCAAGCTCCATTTCAAGTTATAGGATGAATAATACATTATAGCAGTGGAAGTAAGAAAACTGTCATTAATGTTAGCTTCTGCTTCTTCCTTGTCTTCATTGTTAAATTACACAACACAAACAAATGTCAATCAGGATTAGCATATATATTTTCCATAATTATTCAATCTATGTATGTCTTGATTGTGTATCATATATAAGCAAATTTGTATGGTTAATAGTTCTCCATATTTGATAGGATTGTAATTAGGAGGTAATTGTCCAAGAGCCTTTATTTAAACCGAGGACTCTCACATTATTATACATGTTGAATCCAAAATTATAAGTCTTACAACAAAGACAAAGAAAAGGTAATAGGATAATTATACAGAAACTGCAAATAAACAAGGTTCTAGGCTCTGACAATAGAATAGCCATGTAGGCTTCAGGAAATGTGGATGCATCAGTAGTTTTGCTATGGTCCAGATAGCTGTTTTCACAAAGAAGACCCAGGTACCAATTATAAAGAAGGATTAACACGAAACAACAAGTACTTTGACATATTCATCCAGATAGTCTGCCAGAGAAATAGTAATAAATTATACTGACACAACAGACATTATTCTTGTACACAATCAAGTGTGTGCATAGGCTCACACAAGCATACACATTCAATGTCATGGATAAGCATAGAAGTGAATATCTTTTTCTGCTCAGAATAAAACAGATATTTTCTGCTCACAATAAAACAGAGGGATATGATAAAAGTATACGACTTAACTGAAAAACATACAAGCAAGAGTGCCAATCTTATTCCAGAAAATAAAAAAGAAAGAAAATGCCAACCTTGTGAGGTTCCTCTCAGTTTCCCCACAGCTATAAACTCCAATATCCTTTCCTTGACATCAGTTAATCCATAATGGTCTTCATCGAGAATTTTTTGTGCTCGTATTACATCAAAATTCTCATCACTGAATAATTGAAGAAACAAAAATGTTTAGCAGGTATCAGAGTACCATTACCATTTATTTAAAATGAGAAAACTCCACTCAGTTATGAAAACAAAAACACCAGCAAACATCAAAATATATGAATCCGACAATTGTATCCAAGATAAATGTACAAGCAAAAACTTCCAAGTCAAATCAATGTTCTATCTTCAGGAACTTGAATCCTAAACAGAGAATCGCTCCACATTTTACAAGTGAAAACAACCATCAGCAGTACTCAAATGCTTTAGATAAGTTTTCCATAATGAATTAAAATCAACAAAAGCAGTGCTCGATTGTTCATATAACATAGACACCAGAATCAGTGTGAGGAGAAGGCCAAAAGCATCAAATTCATGGCGCATAAAGCAGCTTCAACTTTTTCTTTCCAATCTTATTTGACTTTCAGGCTCAATAAGAGAAAAAAAATATCTCAGTGTAGATATTTGAAGGGGATGAAAAACAATAGGCATTAATATCTTCATACAACATAACAGATCACACGGTGTGTTAGTGGTCTACATTCTGTTCTCCGTTTCATTTTTATTTATTTATTATTATTTTTTTTAATCTTCAAGGGTGGAGAGGATCCTGCTGAAAATGCGACTGGTCAGAAATGGAAAGAATTCACTCTTGAGCATTATTTTAGGAAATCAACAATAGAACTAGCGATATTGATCATTAAGAAATTGCAGGCCTCAGAGGTTCCTGCAATCTAAGATTAAATATTTGGCCCACAAAGGGTAAACACTCTGCTTAATACATCTTGAGGCTAGAAATTCAAGATGAAAGCAACGAGCGTTGAAAGTAGCCTATCAACTAGCTTTAATGGTTGAAAGGCTAAATAGAAGGCAGAGACCATTTCTGTCCAACATGCCTGGAAAAGAAAGCCAGCCCAACTGGTTATCTTCACCGCTCTAAACATGAAATCTGCCAGTCTTTGACTCTTCCTCCCCCTAATGAAAGAGTCCATGGCCAGCTCTAATAAAGTTTTGACTCACAGCCAGTAATGCCTCTTTAGGAGCCTATTTGCAAAAAAATAAATAAATAAACTGTCTTGCCAATCTGCAAGCAGAAAGGTGAGCACCTACAATTCATCATTTCCTTTCTACTGGAGTGAACTCTATCTGTGCTGGATTGCTTGGATTTGAGGATGTTTAGAAAGCTAAAAAAAGTCCTTTCAACTCCACCTACCTATGATGTATAGCTATGGATTCTAGGATGTTAGACTAAGCTTGCTATCAATTCACAAATGACCTGTAATGTATACAGTAGTCCCACTTGGCATTATCTCCTGTTGGTGTAAGTGTTGAAAACTAACGAAATTCATATTATGCCTAGTGCTGCATTGTCACAGGTCAAGAAGTATGGATGTTATTGGTTGCTGCTTTAGAGGGCATTGTCTTTCCTGCATCATCAATTACTAAATTTTGTGCAGCAGTAAGGTTGTTAAACACTTACACATGTTGCATTTGGACTGAAAATGATCAAGGCAACACGAGGATATAAGGGAATCAAGTTTCAAGTGAGAGTTTTGAAAAGCATACAAACTCTCTAAAGAACTTATGGCCTCGTTTGGTACACATTAATGTAAAAATGAGAATGAAAAATATAGTCGTTACGGGCCCCACACAAGAGATATAAAGTCAAATATGATGACTTGATGTGATGGATAACGATTATATTTTTCATTTTAATGGGCAAGTAATGGGAAACAAACGGGGCTATATCCTAGAACAACTATCATCGAGTTCTTGCAGTCTCTAAAACAGTTACCACCTGATTTTTCTTTTTTAAACACACTTCTGTATCAGAAATATTTGTAATTTTCAGAAAGGGTAATTAGCATAAAATGTCCTTACCTTTCATTTTTTGGCACTTTTACCCTTATTTCATATTTCGTTGTGAAAATCGTTATTTTCATCCATTTTATCAATTAAAAACTAAAAAACGACAAATATACACTCCTATTTAAATAAACAAAAAGAAAAAATAAAGCAAAGCCCAAATTGCATTTTCAAAAAAGTACAAATAAATTCCAAATAAATAATTAAAAAAGAAAGTGATTTTTTTTTAATTATTTATTTGTACTTTTTTTAAAAATTTTGGGAATATAGTTGCAATTTGTTTTTTATTTTTCTTTTCTTTATTTTTGTTTATTTAAAGAGAAAGGTATATTTGTCATTTTGCAGCTTTTAATTAAGAAAATTGATGAAAATAATAATTTTTGCAATGAAATATAAAAATAAGGGTGAAAACGTCAAAAACTGAAAGGTATGGATATTTTGTGCTAATTACCCTTTTAATAATTCATTTGGACTCATTTGCACTTTTTTAATAAGTTCGGAGTATGATTGGAATTTATTCTTTAACTTTTTTTTTTATTATTATTTTATTTAAATATGGGGTATGTCATTTTTATACGAGAAATTTGATGAAAATGATGGTTTCCTCAATAAAAGATGAAGGTAAGGGTAAAAGTGCCAAAAAATAAAAGAGAGGGATGTTTTGTGCTAATTACCCTTTCTAGAAATTCTAGGTTATATTCTTTAAAGACCAAACCATTAATTTTCTTTTCTAGAAATTCTAGGTTATATTCTTTAAAGACCAAGCCATTAATTTTCTAATACAAAGCATTAAGACTAGTTTTACAGGTGATCAACAAGGTTCCACAAAAGAGTTCAGAGTCCAACTAGTCTGGAATATCTCAAGTCTGTTTAAAGCATTATAATACTTCTAAATAAAAATTGGTAGTTTTATACACATGGATTTGGTTGAACTTTTGCAAGGCAAAGCATGCTCTTCTCATCTTCTCTTCTCCTCTGCAATTCTCATGATTCCACATTTTTTATACCTATGTCAATACCTGTTTCCTCCTCTCTCTTTTTTTCCCTCTCTTTTTTTAAAAAAGAAAAAAGGCACCCTTAAGTTGTCCTTCAGTCGAGAAATACCATAACTTTTCAACATCATTATCTAACTTTTCAGAATTCATGGGATAAATTGTTCCAAGTGGTAAAGCCTCAGGAACTTCCAGGGTTTTGCCTAGCCTTGCAAACAATTAAGCACGAAATATTTCACTTCAACCATTAATATATTTAATAGATCACAGAGAAAACTATTTGCATTCAAGTAAAATGGCATTTGGGCGAAAAGATTTGAAACATCAAGATCATAGAAAGGTCACCATGTTATAGAGTTAACAAACATCTAAAATCTAGTTTCTCAACTATATCCCACCACCAACAACAATAGCTTCAAAAACTTAACAAGAGCCTCTAGATAGATTCTTTATTTTTAATGAGAATTTTTGTACATAATAGAGAGTATCTTTAAGAGGCTGTTTGGGAGTGATTTTGAGAATTGATATTTTGACCGTTAGAAGAAAAGTGGGGTCCACCCGTGAGAGAAGAAGTCAAATATGACGGCTGGAATAGTGAAATAACGGTCAAAAAATCAATTTTTTGGAAGAAAAAATCGGGCCCAAACAGGGCCTAAATTGTAAAATTTTTAGCACACTCCAACAAACAGATTGTTTCTCCCCCAATTTTCAATTAATATATATTTTTAAATGTCAATAACTTCAATATTCAAATATAAATTGAATAATAAAAGTAATAGACTTAGAAACTTGAAATTTACTAAATGAAGTCATTGTATAATACAAATAGAGAGTGATTACGACTCCCCAAATGTGGGGAGTCCAACTCACTCCCTATTCAACAATGTTAAAATGGAGAGCTTATTGAACATAATTTCAAGGTTTGGCTCTCAAAATAGAAAGAATCGTATGCCCTTGTTTGAGCCCCATTTTTGGGGAAGAATGAATTTTTGAATAGTGTATTGATGAAAAATGTGTGGTTAAAAAATAAGGAAAAATTTTAGATTTGCGTGTAATATTATTTTATTGAAGAATATGTGTTTGAAATGATGTCAAAATACTGTTGAAAAATGCATTTTTCCAAAAGAATGAGACTCAAATAAGGGCTATATTTAGAGTCTTTTGGAGATGCTATGAGAGTGCATCAAAAGATTCAAAACTGACCCAAAATTTTAGATACAATGGGAGAGGAACTAGTGTGGAAGCGATAATAAAATTATGTAATAAACTAAGAAGAATATTGGAATAACTTGCTTCGTTATTGATTAAATAATCATAAATGTAATAAAAAGTGTACAATACCCCAATATTTATAAGCAAGATTATTTTCTACTTCTTATAATATTAGAAAATTGAAACTAATTGAAACTATATCCCAATCAAACAAAAGATAAAGTACTATCACAACTATACAAGAAAATTAAATATATAAACATAATTGAAAAGATAAACTACTAGATAATGTCAATCATAATTGTAGTAGGAAACTATTAATTGTAGATGTGATGAACTACGTAAACCAATCAGCAAAAAGCATTAACGCTTCAATCGAACAACGAGCTAGGGTGACTTTATTAACAACAAATAGAAAAGAGGAACGGAAGAAAGGTGCCAAATGATAAAATGTAAATTGTATTATGAGATAACAAAAGCTACAGACCTGTATTCACCCCAAGGCAATGCAGTCAACCAATCAAGATAATTACGTGTCACATTAAATTCACTTGAGCTAGCTTCCAGTAATTGCAATTTTGTCAGTTCTTCTTCTATGACTTGCAAAACATGAGGTGGGATTTTCTCCTTCTTTGGGTCAAGCCTTTCCCTGAACTTTGCTGCAGTATTTCAGAAATCAAAGCCAATGAACAAGTTGTCACCAATTAAAAAATGAGATAGTGTAGTAAAAACAGAGTAATCCACTGCGTCAACATCAGGCACTCTTAAAGCTCAAGCAAAAATCACTTGAAACTGGAAAATACAGATCAAGATTTGCTAAATAGCAACAAATTTCAACTTAACGCAGCTTCTGTTTGAGTGTGTGGTTAAAAAGTAAGTAAAATTATCTTATTGGGAAAATGTGTGGTTGAAAATGAATTTTTTGATAATGGGATTCAAATAGGGGCACAATTTCATACCTAACTTCAGCGAGAAAATATTATTCATGGATTAATTAAGAGAAAATTTTAAAAACTGACACCAATTTAAAGCAGATTATTAGCAGTAAAGAAAAATTAAAAACTGACTTTAAAGCATAGATTATATTGCTAATCTTCTAGGACTATACCCCATATATAAACATATACACATGACTTATATAATATCACATGTCCATCTCAGCCTATAAAATTCCACCAAGGCATATCCATAGAAATAGGAACAGATTCCAACCAAAGAAAAGAAGGGAGGTAAAGGGGGAAAACCCAGAGAAACTCAAAGAGATTTCTTAATCTTTTAATCGCGTTCTCTGCGCCACTATTAATTCCATTATTATGCCCTCACTAAATTACCAATATAAAGCAACATGTGCAAGTCCCCAATGAACTCAGACAAAAAGGGTAAAAAATTGATTTTTTGACCGTTATTTCACTATCCCAGCCGTTATATTTGACTTCTTCTCTCACAGGCGAACCCCACTTTTCTCCTAACGGTCAAAAAATCAATTCTCAAAATCACTTCCAAACAGGCTCTATACATCCGTCTCTTCCTAAAAAACAGGGAATGAGCAAATTACCAGGGAAAAATCATCGATAACATATCAAATGATATTACCCTGTCATCACATTCGTAATATACCCAAAATATTATTACCAGAATCATGCCTAACGTCAGCAGGACCGTTTTTCAACCTGGCAACCTTTTTCCCTAGATGCTGAACAGATGCTGACATTTTCTCTTAAAGTGCATGCTGACATGTGAATGCCACAAGACCAGATAAAAAATGGTAGCAAATGCCAAATACAATGACCTGTATAGTAAATTATTGTCTAAAGAAGAGAAAAAAAAATTAGGTCCAAAGAAAGAGAAGTATGCATCATATTGGAATTGAGATGACTCATATTCTCAGTAAATCTTCATTTAGCTGACAGGGATGCAACTGAACACTTTTTTTAGACTTAAAAAGAGACTTGCTAACTAACATGACATTTGCCATAAAAACCAAATTAAAATGGAAAAATAAGAGTGCGTTCGATTTGCGCTTCCGTTTTCTGTTTTCAAAAATGAAAACAGAAAACGTTTTCTGTTTTGAGGGACTATTTTCGAATTACAGAAAATATGTTTAGTTTGTCATTTTGAAAAAAAAAAAACATTTCTCAAAACAGAAAACTAGAAAATGCGTTTGGTTTAAAATTTTTAGAAATTATTTTATGACATTTATTCAATTAATTTGATTATTTAGTAAAACATAATAATTTTATGCTAATATATTACCAGATAATATATATTTTAAACGTGGTAAATTTACTATTTTTTCTTGCTACAAAAATAAAATAATAAATGTTTAGAAATTGTTTTATGACATTTATTCAATTAATTTGATTATTTAGTAAAACATTATAACTTTATGCTAATATTTTACCAAATAATATATATTTTAAACTTGAGGAATTTACTATTTTAAAAGTACCGTTGAGCATCCCTAAAAAAAATAAAAGAAGGGAAAACGGCGTGTTTTGAGCGTTTTTTGCGTTTTGAGTTTTTAAACTGAAAACACTAAAAAAAAAAAAAAAAAAAATTTGAGTTTTCAGGTATAAATTTTTCCTTGTTTTGGAAAATGCATTTTTGAAAACGAGTGACCAAACGAGTTTTGGGCATTTTCGAAAACTAAAATCAAAAAATGACTGTAAAACGGCAAACCAAACGCTCCCTAAGTAGTCCAAACTCAAAATAAAAATGCAGTATCAAAAGCATGTATGTCCTCGTGGAGAAAACAGAACATTGTTTTTAAGTTATTTGATCAGAAAGAGAGTGGATTCATGAGATATCACAAATGAATTGCTTTTATAACAATACACAAAATATCTCTTGCTTTTATTTAAAAAAAGAGAGGGAAAATAAAAGTTCTCTTTTTCTTCAATTTTAGCCTCGAAGCCGAAACTGTTCCCTCTTTCAGAAAAATAGATCTTTAAACATATGTATGTTTCCTGTCACCATAGATTCTAAAAGGAAAAAAACAGAAAAATAGATAGTTACAAAAGGCTTGATATTATGTACCCAACGATTTTAAATCATGAGGCATCCAATAAGACAGCATGAATTAGTACTGCTAAGCATTCAGCAGGTTCAAATGTTTTAGATATAATGCAAGTACTAACATGGCTCTAGCAATTACAACAGAGTAATAAGGCAGAACACCGTGGATTATATAGAAGAGGGCATACCAGAAAGAGCGGTTTTGTCGTCAGTCTCTAATCCCAATTCCTGCACAATGCAAATAAATTTGTTATAAGATAATTCCCAAAACATTATGACATCTAAACCATTCAAACAGACATACATCAAGAACAGAGTCTTCCATAACACTTAGAGAATGTATATCATAAAGCAAGCAAATCATTATACTAAAGAAACATGCCTTCTTTATGGCCTTGAGTTGCTCATTCAACAAGTATCGTCGCTGCTCTCCACTTATCTTTTCTTCAATTGCCTTTGCTATTGATTCCTAAATACCGCCAAAAAATGGTGAAGATTAAATGGACAGGGAACAGCAATTGAGAGTGCTAGAATTGATCTCCAGCCCAGACAGCCATACCTGGATCTTACTAATCTCCATCTCTTTCTTCACTAACTCCAGAGTAAGTTTTAGTCGTTGATGAACCTTAATTTCGAGAACATGATGAGCATCAGAAATATGAAAGATAGAAAATTTGATGGGCTAATACAGTCTTATTACAAGAAAGCAACAACCCTTTCCACTTCAGGCCCAAAGTGTGGGTACAAAATGAATGTCCTTTTTATCCTATAATCAAATATTTATCTTGGTATAAATGAAACATCTTTGTCCCCAGCACCTTGAACAAGCAACTCGAGAAAATAATGAGTAATTCCATAACAGGGGCAAAATTTATATTCTAGCTGTCCTTTAAATGGTACAAAATTTCCTAGCTTTCTAATCAAGGGACAAGGGATGCATTTAAGTTGATAACAAATCCTTAAAAAAGTAGATTATTTAATCTTGTAGGCTGTAGCAATTTTGAGATCTTATAAGACTACAAGATGCGGAAACCCGACAGATGGATGATTCTCAGATTGAAAGTTACAATGTTACTCTTCTAGGTAGAATTGTAGGCAGGATTCTAGAAAAGATAGAAGCACAATGTTCATTCTCAGAAAAATGTAGTCGATGAGACTGTAGACTACTTACATCTAGTTCTTCAAGCACTTGCTGGCACTGTGATTTGTTTGCACCTGATATTGCAGCTCCAAAATCTGCTAATCTTGGATAATTGAAATCACCTATATGCTGTAGATATTGAGAAGTGAGGAGGTAGCATAGATACTACATGTAAACAAAACCAATAGAAAAACTTGCAATATTATCTTTCAATTTAGGCGATAAATTCGTTCGTTATGTAAAAGTACAACATTCTTGTGATAAAAGGGATGTTACACTGTTGTTCTTCCAAAGTTCGAAAAATGCAATATCTTTATGCATGAATTTAGTGAATCAAATATCTTTAAACAAAAAATACTTCATGAGCATGATCATGGCCTATCTTTAAAAAGGACACACAGTTATTATCATATATGACCTCAGATCTCATAAACAGCAAAAGAGAGGAATCCAATAGTTTATAATCAGATATGTTTCAGGCATACAAGTGCACTTTAGGCATGTATGTCAAAAAGTTCAATTGTACTAGGAAGATGATGGGTACAACCATCTGCACAACTCCATTCCAATTAATATAGTTTGGAAGCATACAAAAAAGGCTGGAGAACTGACCTAATACAACACCTCAGTGTGAATTCAAAGTAATGATTCTGTCACTAGAATAGACCTTTTATATCAAAGTTAAATAAAAAAAAATAAGCGCGTGCATTCATACCAATGAAGTGTTTGACCATGTTATTCTGCATACAGAAAAAGAAAAGAAAAAAATCAGAAATAGGAAAATTTATACCTGAGTGTAAGTTTGTACATGATCCCGCCAAAGTGAACTAGTTTTCAAAACATCTCTAAGAGTTGATATAACTTCAAATGACGTTGCCTTAAGAACATCGTCATCCTTATCATAAGGCTTTTCCTGAAAGACATGAGAACACACAAGTCCTCAGAAGTTCATTTTACAAATTTGGATTATTATATTAAGTATTCACATGAGAGAACTGCACACACCTTGAGATGATCGACCTTGACCATGAGAGGATCCTCACTGACCTGCACAAGACAATTATTTCAGTTGTGCATCTGTAGCACAGAGATGGATATAGCTATTAATTTGCAAATATATACCAACAGCATGGAAAAATTCTTCTTGAGGTGTATAAATAAGTAGAAAATATATTTGTAAGGTAATTGAAGGAGATGAAAATGTAAAGAAACAAGAGCAGAACTTTAAATCTACAAAATCATGAATGAAGAAAGATCCTACAAACCATCTCAGTTATTCGAAGTCGTCGGTGACCAATAAGAACCACCTGATCTCCTTGGATGCTTGTAATCTGAGATCATCAAGCCAGCTTGATGAATCAAAGAAGTTTTTTACCACAGATATATAACTTCAAACAATAACTTGATGAAAATAAAGGAAAGAGAATTACCTGAGCTAGCGTACCAACTTCATGGAGGCGATTAAATAACTCTTTTCCTTTGAGATTGTATATATTTTTCTCATCTGTACCCTCAGTTACTGCCTCATCTTTAAGTAGGAAAGCACCAGCATAAGGGGCTTGCCGTTTTCTACTCTCTACTAAAGCTTCTAACAACTTTGGGTCCTGCAGAAATGAGTATGTACAAGAAAGGTTGGCAGATCAGCTCGCTAGTTACTAAGAATATGAGTAGAGTTTATTTTACCTTCATCTTATATAAGATATAAAAAACCATTTAAAAAAATAATAAGATAAAAGCTTTCAACTTTTCACCACTTCTTTCATATATCAAAAGAAATTATAAAAAATTCCAACAAGTACTATTTGTAAAAAGCTAAAAGCTAAAGTAAGCAGATAGGATATAAAAGACAAATTACAGAGAGCAATCCATGTTTCTTGGACTCAGGTGTGGTGTCCGATACATATCTAGGAGTCTGATCTTTTCTCTCTCTCTAAAATCTAGGATACAAGATACAGCTAAAAAAGATCCAAAATGTAGACACAGGCATGTGGATTCATCTTATATTGTATATTTAACTGTAAATCTATAATAAATTAAATTGCAAATTGTGATACTTTTTTTGAAATTTCATTTCAAGTCTAGAAATGTGAAATACAAACTAGAAATCTTTTTAAATACAATACCAAATTAACAAAAACGATATAAAGGACCCTCTTGTGTTTTAAACGATCTGGGAAGGCCCCTTGCTGTGTATGTCCGATACAGGTACTTCCTCTCAAATGGAGAGTCCGAGCAACAAAGAGTGCAAATAAGCATGCTCAGTTGAATGCAAAAAATAAATAAATAAATAAATAAATAAAATCATAGCATGATTCCATACAGAATAGTGCACACAAATTACCCCTTAAAGTATTATGGAATTATATATTAGGAAATTATCAGTACATCTGTCAGAACTTGTACTTACAAGAACTGCATTGTAAATCTAATTCTAGTTAACCAATAATAGTTATATATCCATGTAATGGCACAGAGAAGCAATATTGAATACGAGGATGTTAAAAACAAAATATCAAACTAAAGTACTCAACCATAAGCAGCCATACCTTCACATAAAGAGGCATATAAAATCCAGGAAATAATGGTCTGTGTGGCAGGGGTAATGCTATAACCTGCACATGTAACAGAAGTCTTGATTATTATTCATTCTAAAAATAAGATGGAACAAAAAAATACCAGCTAATGTCTAAAATGATCTAATGTTCATCCTTTCCAATAAATAACTCAATAAAAGAAAATCGGGTACAGATGAAGATAGTTGCTTCTTGTTTGGGAATAGGTTATAACTGGTTTAAATAATAACTAGGCAGAATTGAGTCACGGATAATTGTGTAGTACTTGTAGGTCCTAAGAGGAAGACAATGGAAGACAATCCTAACACCCCCAACATATTGATTTTACATAGACCACATAAACAAAATACCTAATTTCGTCCAACAAGCTCATTGTGTTTCTTTTCCCAAATATGTGCTTGATTCCCAATGCAGAGGAAGCAAATGCAAGAAATTAAGAAATAACTACTTAAAATTAAAAGAAAGCCTCACCATGAATTTGATATGCACGCCATAAACTAACAAGCTTGTGCAGGTAATACAAAGAGTGCATTTTTACATAACAAATCCACTAAGTTCGTTCTCTCACATATATTTTGTACGAGACCAAACTCTCCATTAGTTAAGACAGACTTACATAAAAAATTCCAATTTGAACTTCTTCAGTACTACAATTGCAAAAATGCTCCAGCGTACAAGAATATTAAGATTTAAGAGTTACCACAATGGCGGCATGTAACTGCGAAACTGAATTTCATTTTCAAGTCTTACCTTGTCAACAAACATAATCGAGATTTACCCAATATTTGATACTTAATTATAAAATTGTCACGAAAAGATTGAATATTTTGAACATTTATACATAAACCCACCCATTCATGGACACTAAATGTATGTATAACCATAATTCATAAGAACTAACCGTTAGATAATCTTCAGGTCTAAATACAGTGGGGACAATAGCTGATGAAGACTTAGATTCGGCCACTTCACTCCCAGAACCATCAACCTCTTTGACCTTGGAACCAGTTTCCCCCGGGTTTGACCCATCAGAGGAGTCGGAGCAGAAGAATCGGCGATAAAAATACGGGCTTCTCTTATTTGTTCCTCGGAGGGAGTTCAGGACCCGAAGAATTGGAGAGGCGGACTCGGTGGTCGATCCAGGCCGGAGTTGCGGCCCAAAAGACGATGTAGCGGCCTGGAACCGGCATGTGGAGGAGAGGACCTTCAACATGAGGAATTATGGCAAATGGCAAGTCTTTATGGTCAATATGGATTTCAGGTTAGGTTTTGATTTAGACGACGGGGTGAACCGCCATTGATGGAGGATAAACAAGCTCTTTTCTTGGGGAAGAAGAAGCAGGTTTTATTGACTTTTTATTTTTCAAGTAAAACCCTGCATAAACCCTCGGATTTTGCATTTTGTCGAAAATACCCCTGTCATGCTTTTTCTTTTCACTTTTTAAAGTTTTCAAAATGATTCTACTTTTAAATCATGTAAAATTAAAAATGAAATGTATATGATCTTTTATAAAATTGTAAAAATTTCAGACCATGTTTGGGAGCAATTTTGAGAATTAATTTTTTGATCGTTAGGAGAAAAGTGGGAGCCATTTATAAGAGAATACTTCAAATTTTACCATTGAAATAGTGAAATAACGATCAAAAAATCAATTTTTTGAGTGAAAAATCACTCCCAAACCGCATATCAATGTTAATGGTTTTTCAATTTTAAGTAAAAAAAAAAAAGATTTATATTTCATACGTGCAGAAGTTGTACTTAAAAGGATTCATATTCAGTGAATTAGTTATTTTCGGATAAACTATGGCAAAGGTTCCAAACGTCTTCCATACCTTATTTCTTGGACTTCACGGTTTGCAGTCATTTGTAACTTTTTTCAAGTGATGGAGTGCAGCTATGTTAAAATTGTCGGGAACGGGTGAAGATGGACTTTCAATGGCATAGAGAAAACACAAAGAAAGATACATGGACATTTTATTTTCAAATGGCCTAACGTTTTATTCCACGAAAGAAAACAAGTAGTGTGTTTAGATGCAAAATCATTGTAGTACTTGAGAATCCATCTCTTTATTTCGTAATATATAAGAAGGTAAGAGATCTTGCCTTAAAAAAAAAAACATGCACACCATTCTCTTTTACTGAGTACTAGTGTGACGAACGTGTAACGTCAATTATTGTTAAAAGTAAGTGTACATAGAAGTAATATGATGATATGGATAGAACAATAACTACTAAATAATAGTTTGATGTGTAAGTTTGAACATTGGTTCACATCTGCAATTAATTGACACTACAATAAGGATACATTTGAAATTTGCATGGAAAAAAATAAATTCTAGGCAAATGAATTGTCTAGAACTTATTTATATGAAAATTATTAATTAAATGTATTTGATTGATTTAATTTTTAACTTTAAAATATTATACTTGTCTATTTTTTATTGGAAGGTGGACGAGAGAGAAGGGACAAATGAGAAAGAAAAAGAGAGTAAATTATTTGAAAAATAAAAATCACACCTCCCCAAAGGAAATATTTTCATTGTTCCTGTTTTCAAGGAAAATATGATCGTATGACCAAATGTATGAAAATATTTTTGGTAAAAAAATTGTCAATCAAACAATACAAAGTAAGAAATTAGGTTAAAAAAAATAATTTTCATAAAAAATATTGACAATCAAACGCACTATAAGTGGTTTTAAAACATATGTTAAACAATTGAGCTTAATGGCGATCGTATCATCTCGTGTCTATTTCGCTACGATAGGAGCAATGCAAGAAAGGAATATGTATAATTGGTTTCTACTGTCATTTTGAACCTGTTATGAACGGAAATGCTTTTGACGACCTAAAGCAGGCAGTGATTGATGACCCCGTATTGCAGTTGCCAACAGCTTGACCAGGGTAGAGGCAGAGGGGGGGAGGGGGAATAAGAAAAAGGGAGCGCGCGGCTTTGGCTCGTTCTTTCTGGACGGAGATAAAGTTAATCTTTTTTGCAGTTTCTGAATAGTTACCTTAGGCTGCTCCTTGCACTTAATCTCGTATGATTGTGAAATGCTCACATGTATATGTATGCAATGATAAGTAATTACTTATAGAATTTTTCTTCTTAAATAAATTGAAAAGTACTATCTACACAATGTTATATAGGTGAAGACAAATATGAGCAAAAAGACAGTAAAAACCAAATAGTATAACCGTTTAATAGGCAAGTAAAATAATAATAATAAAAACTAATATAGAGCAGTTATAGAACTAAAGTAACAACTATTGCATAAGTGATATTTAGGAGTTGATTCACAGATTTCGAAAGCTACTCGTTGGTACATCTTCAAGTTAAAAATGGAATAGAGAAAAAAAAATTATAAATTACATAATTTCTCCTATGATTAAACGTTTTGCATCATTCGATATTGATGTCACTGGATTTATAAACTGCACGTTTTTTGCCCTTGCCTTCTCCGCTTTTCGAATTTGAAGGACCGACAATTAACAATATTACTCTTGGATGATGATGCAGTAGAATCATTTTGGATTAATCGGGGTGATTCAGCAAATGGAGTTAAAGATGTTCTTCCATCAATGCTAACATGAGAAGTTTCTCCTGTTGATTAACATTTTTTTTATGTTTGACAACTTTAACATAGAAAAATAGATCTTCATTAGTCGGGAGTATTGTAAGGAATTTTGAGCAGGTTATCCTATGATTGTAATATCAATAGATTCTAATGAATCTTACAATTGGATAGTAGCTCTTGCCCTATGGTAATATAACACAGATAAATGACATAAGAGTTGGGAAAGAATGTATTGAACGAATTTTATTACTTGTATATGTAATTATCACCTTGGAACTGCTCAACTCGAGAGCACATGCAGAATGAACTGCAATGGATTCATTTGTGGTAATAGATAATACCTGAAATTCAGGGAAGAAAAATAGGAGTTAAGAGGATTTATGTATGGGTTTGGTAGAAATGTATAAGATATTCTCTAAAAAACAATAATTAATTGTGAAAGACAAAAATAAGGAACTTGAAATTATCAAAATGACTCTGTTCTGTCAAATGTAATGGAAGTTTTTTCTTGAAGTGCAATGTTTTCTTTGCTCATAACCCTGGGCAGATACTTGCACAATTACATCATGTTTGTGTATTAGGAAAATGTACATCTTTATTATTGAAGCTGTAAGGATGAATTCAAATCACTTGTGCCTACCTTGTTTATCATTGACAAAAAACAAAAGGAATTGTATATTTGAAAAAATTAGATCTCTTAGACAGTAACGATATCAAATAGAATAATGAAAATTTATTCCAAAGCAAAGGATTAAACAAACTCTCTTGAATTTAGCAAAATTCTACACATTCAAAAATCGAAAGAATTGAAAAGAAATTAAGATTCTACTAGTAAAATATTCCAATCCAATTATATATCAGAAGTGAATGAATATTATAGAACGGAGTTGAAAAGCTCATTATGCAATGTTCCACCTCACAATCTTTTTTATTTTTCAGTTTAGAAATCCCAGATAAAAAGAATAAAAAAATGTACAAAGGTAGAACTAAATTTTCATCTTTATCAATGTAAATATGTAACACCTGTTGTTTCTAGAGTTTGAATTCACTCCTTCTACAGCAATCTGACAGAATTACCTGAATGCAAGAATTGATCAACAGGATCCAAAATTGTAATTCGAGCCCACCGACTTCACGATGTATCCTTAAAACGAATTTGCTGCCTTCAATGGTGCTAAAGGCGTCCAGCAATCGTTTCCCAGGATAGAACGAATTTTTCGTCTCCTACGGAAGCAGCACTGCAGTCTGTAGGAGTTCCAACGAACTCAACGAAGTGTTTTTTAATTCGAGACAATATCAGAACGAGAGAGAGAGGGAAATGAGATTCAAAGCACAGAAAGTTTGCAATGAAAATGGTGTAAATTTTCTGGTAGAAAGGCTGGCTATTTATAGACTTGTTCGTGGCCATTCGAACAGTCATCACCTTTCAGACAAGCCTCAAAAATCCGAACAGACATACTGTTCTTAAAAGTCGTGTCCGCACCGGACTCGGGCTCGTGCCGGCCGGTCGCCCGCACCCGTACCAAATCGGACCGGACTTAGACACGGGCACGTGCTCGTGCCGTGCCGAGCCGAGCCAAGCCGAGCCGGCGGCGGCGGCGCGCGCGTGTGGGTTTATGACCGAACCCAATAGGATATAGGTCTTCCCCCTTCCAAAGACTATTGGTACCCCTTGGGGCCCAAACCCAATTCCAAACTTCCACCTTATAAACCACACCAAAGTTTCCTAACTTTCCTATGTGGGATAAGTGTTTGGCAAATCAAATTCTTCCATAATCCTTAGTTTATGTGGGTTACTTTAACACTTAATATTTCATTCAATTTTAAATGGTTTTCGATAAATAAATATATCACGTTAATCATCTCGCGGAGTAGAACGTGAATATGCTAGATCCCGTATTATTTAAAAGGTGGGTCCCACTGAAATTTGGGCTCAAAGTTGACCCATTAAACCATTTTTTCCAACAACACCTATGTAACCAATTTATTTCATTAGATAGCTATTGAGTTATTTAAGAATTATATATGAGAATAATGAAATTTATAAGTTAAGAAAAAAGTACGTAGTTAAATCTGTAAGATTTTTGTGGAGCTAAAAGATATTATGAATATAACAAACAATGACAAGCATAGGAATTTTGTCAGCAAGAACAAGATAATTAGATTTATAAAAATATAATAAGATGCGATAGTAAATGTTGGTTAAGGACTTACCTCTTGAGCATCTTCCAAAGTAATCATCATTAAATTTAGAAAGAAGTCTCCTGGGAACATATCATTGTAATCGCAAACGAAGAAGAATTTTTCTATCAAGATATTTAATTGTCATGGAAGTATTTCAGGAGACTTCTTTCTAAACTTAATGATAAATAAAGTGAAGAGGAAATAAAAACATTAGTAGATCTTTTTTTTCTTTTTTTTGATGTTCATCAAATATACTACTTAAGAAAGATCGTAGGATAACTTCATTTGGCTAATAGAAGTATACAATTAAGGTACATTAGAAGCAGTTGAACAAATATGATCAGAATATACCAATTTATATCGTGGATCAAGCACAGTGGCAATCAACAACAATTGATTAACATTTTTCATTTTCCCCAATACTTGTCAAACTTTTTCTAGATGTTAATAGTCATTTCAGCCAAAAGAAAATCACCACTTGAACTCAATTGTTCCAATTCAGTTACAAGTGAACATACTTCACGAAGATGAACATTAAAGTAAACATGTATTGACGTACTGAACTTCAAAATTACTTCATAAAAGCCTTT